CAGGGGTCTTCAAACTTGGCCCTTTTATGACTTGTGGACTTCCAACTCCCAGAATTCCTCAGTCAGGCAAGGCCTTAATCGAAGATGAATTTATGATGGCCCTGGTAATTGTTGGTATTTGGACATCCCCCTCCCCAAACTTGAGGTGCATACTTTAAAAAGAAGGAAACAACATTGAAAACCATCTTTTATGCCCAGCTGGAAGGGGCATGTTTTTAAGGCAGGGGTCTTCAAACTTGGCCCTTTTATGACTTGTGGACTTCCAACTCCCAGAATTCCTCAGCCAGGCAAGGCCTCAATCCAAGATGAATTTATGATGGCCCTAGTAATTGTTGGTATTTAGACATCCCCCTCCCCAAACTTGAGGTGCATACTTTAAAAAGAAGGAAACAACATTGAAAACCATCTTTTATGCCCAGCAGAAAAAATCCAGACAGCTCGGACTCACAACCACTGAATGGCAAGTTTTCAGAAACATTGAGATAACTGGAGTGACTGCAGTCTAACGCAGCTAAAGGGTGCTAAATCATACTTGACAAATCTCATATCAGCTGATAAAACCAGTATTAACAAAAGATGGTTGGAGGGTTGTGTGAAAGGAAATATAATCCCAGCTGTTAGCAAACATGGGCAGCCAAGATATTTCAGAGGACCCGGCCTGCAATTGAAAAGTCATTTTTCCTTTCATTGTGGCTATGGTACGGACTACCATATGACTGGTCCTTTGGAGTCCATTTGAGGTTACAACAGACAACCCCCTCCCCAGTACCCATGACTTGGTTCTGATGGCTGCCCTTCTTCCATGATCATGTGACCTCAGGTTGGGCGCTTGGCAACTAGCCCTCATTTATGGCTGTTTGTAGCAACCTGCAGGCCCGTGACCGTATTTGCCAAAAACACATTTACTTCCCATTTGGGGCAAAAACAGCCCATAATGAACAATGGATTCACTTTAGGATTGCAGGCTTCATTACAATCATATGTTGAGCATTACCTGCAGAGGAATTTATGATCTGCTGGCATTTCCCACTTAATACTTTGGGGAGATGTTTCTTGGGAACATTTCTAAGTGAAATGCTGTTTTAGACTGTCTAAGAAAATAAATGTCTTCTTAAGGCCTTGGATCTGATCTCCAGAAAGTATCCAAGAACAGGAGTAGAGTTCAAAATGCTAAAAGTTTATTATGTGCTACCTATACTTAAAAATTTGATTTATTAATGGCCAATACATTTTTTGCTAGATAAGGATCAATGGAATTCGTGGGAAGCTGGACTTAGATGGGAACGCAACGACTCCAAACTAATGACCCATTTAACTCAGCCCTTGAATTCATCCTGCTCATCTCCTACACAAAGTGCTGCTTTGAAGAGCATGGAGATAGCCCCTTTAAAACAGCCACACTTTTCCCAGCATCACAACTACAGAGGGAAGCTGTGCAATCCTGGCAATGTTGTTATTTAGGAGTTTGTAGAAAAGACACTATGTTTATGCTTTCTAGCCTTCTTGAAGCCTTTTACAAGTCCAGGTCCAAAGCCTTGCAATGCACTGTTCTAGCATGATTTTGGTTTTGGCTTAGCACCAAATATGCCGTTGAACCCTAAGCCAAATATACTGAGTGTCCTGGAATCCAGCAAAATTGCAATTTCCAGAAAAACGACAATACAGTTTTGAAGGCAAAGCTTTGGAACATATCTTCAGATGAAACAAAGCGGATTTCCATCCCCCATCCCCCCCAGAGGGAGGATTAAAGAAAGTTGGCTAATTATCTGTAGTTTAACTACTTTAATTACTTTGATCCCTGAAGCCCCATGAATATTTGATTGGAACAGATGACATATTAAAAATGGTATTATTAACACTCCCAGGTTTAATGAATTGAAACGTCTTTGTCTTTCAGCAGACATTCAAGATGATTCAGACCTGTTCTTTCCCAGACGTGCAATCCAGTTTTCCTTTTTAGAGCCAGTGGAATATTTATTAACATTCTGTCTTTCCTTCAGGAGCTCAGGATGGCATGCATGGTGCTTGTATCGCCATTTCCCCCCCAAATAGCAACCCTATGAAGAGGGACTGAGAAAGAGAGGGTGGAGCTGGCCTAAGGTCATTGGGATGTAAATTGATAAGAATAAAAATAATAAATATTCACAGGCTCTCCATTTTCAATTACGGTGGGTCATCTACAGCAGTGTTTCTCAGCCTCAGCAACTTTAAGATCCATGGACTTCAGAGTGAATTCTCCAGCCATCAGGGAGAACTTATTACAGACTGACCTCATCAGCAAGATCCAGGGATCAGGGGCACTGAGAATCCAGGGATCTGGAATTGATTTTGAATGTGAATGGCGATGGAAGCAAATGGATGTTTTTTTCCTCTAGATCTCAAATGGCTTGCACGAGTTCGGGTGAATCATCCAGCTGTTCTAAAGCGGGCAGGGCAAATTCAAATGCATCGGGCCATGAAAAAGAATTCGCAGGTGAGAAACTCCCTACGGTTGGGTTTCCAAAAGAGACAATCTTTTCCCGTGAATTTTAGCACAGTCTTCTGTTCATGATGTTTGATGCTTTTGTCATCAAAACTCAACAGTGGACAGTGGGCCAATGGAAGATGATCTGTTTATCCAACTCAGTTTCAGACTTGGAAGGCCCAAACCCCCAACCCCCCAGCTAAAATACAAATGTTTACGTCAAGAGTGAAAATTTGGCAGCTATGTACCTCTATGTCAGGGGTAGGCAACCTTGGCTCTTTTATGACTTGTGGACTTCAACTCCCAGAATTCTTGAGCCAGCTATGCTCTATGTTTTTATCTTGCCATTAGAATGGGAGGGGGGGAGGTGTTGTTTTTGAAGGGGTTAGTTAGAGAAATGAAACCTTTCTAGTTCTGTGGAAGCTTGCTGAAAGTTGGCAGAATGGATACCTTTCAAGGACATTCTAGCAGGTGTGAAGAAGATAGCAGACGGGTTTCATAACAAAGAGGACTTGTTTACATGAGATATGTGAATATCTGGTTGGGGGGGGGTTGGCTGGGAAAGTTATTGTTATATGCTATGGTCTGATGCCTTGGGATTTTAGAGTTAGTTGGTTTAATGTCAACTTCCAGCTGAAGTAGCCTAATAAAAATCCAAGAAAATTTTCATTTCTGAAAAGCTTACTGTTTATTGAATACCTCGCTTACACCAATAATATATCAATAAACAGTAAGCTTTTCGGAAATGAAAATCATCCTGGACTTTCAGCTGGAAGCTGACAGTTTTAAGATAGACGTCTTGCTGGACGAGTTGGAAATGCCTTGATTCCAAATGCTGTGAATAAAGATCACATTTTTCAGGAATTACATGCAGTCCTCAAGTTAGCAACCATTCATTCAGTGACCGTTTGAAATGACAATGGCACTGAAAAAAGAGGCAAATGACCGGTCCTCACACTTAAAACCATTGTAGTGTCCCCAAAGTCACATAATCCAAATTCAAACACTTGGCAACAGGCGTGTATTTACAACACTTGCAGCGTCATGTGGTTGCCTTTTACAACCTTCCCAGTTGGCTTCTGACCAGCAAAGTCAATGAGAGAGGCTGAATTCACTTAATGTCCACACGATTCACTTAACAACTGTAGTGATTCATTTAATAACAGTGACAAAACGGTCGTAAAATTGGGGCCGATGCACTTAATAACTGCTTTACCTAGCAACAGAAATTCTGGACCCAAATGTGGTCATAAATCGAGGATTAGCTTTACCCAGTTAGGTTTTCAAGGCAGGACCCCATTGATAAAAACAACTTTCCAAATGATTTTTAAAAAGCTATTTATCCTACTGCCTCTTCAGTTCAAACTGAGTCTTGGAATTGTTTTCACTGTATTTGTCTTCACATTTTGCAAACAAGGAGACTAGAATTCCCTTCCTAGCTGCTAATTGTATATTCTTTTCTATTTCTTATAGAGAACATGGGGATTCAAGTAAATCCCTTTTCTACACTAAAAAAAAACAGAAAAAAGAGTTGCATACTTTTAATAATGGTGTGGAGTAGGAGAATAAGTTGAAATCTCTCTTTTTCTGCTTTCAGTAATGGTTTGGTACCAGTAAATATACAAGGTATCAAATGATGTTGGCAGATACATATCTTAACTAATTTAACTATTGTTAATGCAAAACCAATAGTTGCTACTTAATTTGTGACTTGTTTAAAATCAGAAGCAGGCAGATATAATAATAATAATAATAATAATAATAATAATAATAATAATAATAATAATAATAATAATAATAATAATAATAATAATAATAATAATAATAAAAAAAAGTTGGAAGGGACCTTGGAGGTCATCAAGTCCAATCCCCTGCTCAGGCAGGTAACCCTATACCATTTCAGACAAATGGCTGCCCAGTCTCTTCTTAAAGACGTCCAGTGTTGGAGCATTCACCACTTCTGGAGGCAGGTTGTTCCACTGGTTAATTGTTCTAACCGTCAGGAAGTTTCTCCTTAGTTCTAGGTTGCTTCTCTCCTTGATTAGTTTCCACCCGTTGCTTCTTGTCCTGCCTTCAGGCGCTTTGGAGAATAGCTTGACTCCCTCTTCTTTGGGGCAGCCCCTGAGATATTGGAACACTGCTATCATGTCCCCCCTCGTCCTTCTCTTCATTAAACTAGATATACCCAATTCCAGCAACCATTCCTTATTAGAAGAAGGAGAAATATGACAGACTAAAGCAGGGGTGTCAAACTGCAGGCCTGCAGGCCGGATGCGTCATGCCGAAATCGCGCCCACTCCAGCTCCAGCAATGGGGAAACTGTCGCGATACGTCATGACACATCACGTAACGTGGCGAGTTTGACACCCCTGGACTAGAGGCTGCTATTGGTCTAGGACTGAGGTGATCCATGTTTGTGTCTACTCTTGACCGTGAAAGACTTTGAATCAGTTCAACTCACAGTTGTGGTATTCTGGAGATATAAACAAGGGAAGCCGCCATGCACCCTATGGTCCTTTCTGTGGTTTATCTGTCCTGTGAGAAATCTTAACAACCACCAGATGGCAGCAAAACACATAGAAAACTCTTAGCTGCCCTCTATTGGTCATCTGTGGTTACTCTAATCAAGGATCCAACCACAATTACAGGTAGTCCTCGAATTACGCATACAAACGGGCCTCCATTGCTAAGCAAGATAGTTGTTAAGTGAGTATTACTCCATTTTACGACCTTTCTTGCCATGGTTGTTAAGTGAATCACTTAAGTGTGAACAATGGTTATAAGTCACATTTTTCAGTCCCGTTGTAACGTTGAATGTTCACTAATGAACGGGTGTAAGTCAAGGACTATCTGCACCAACTGTGTAGCTCAATTGTAAGGACATTATTTTGATAATTTTGGTGTGTGTGTTTTTAAAATAAAGGCAGCTTGGCTTTTGAGAGCCGTCACCTGCATAGACCTCACCACCCTTTCTGGAGATGACACCCCATCCTATGTTTGCAGATTGTGCTACAAAGCCAAACATCCCATCCGAGAGGATTTGTTACAAGCCTTGAAAATGCATGATAAAGGTACTTTGTGGTTACGAAACCTTGGCTCTATCCGAGTAAGGCGTACTGATAATTTTTAATGTTCTTGTCCTTCATCACACAGAGAAACAAGCTGAGTAGATATAGCTGTGTTAGCAATGTGATATGCAGTGTGAAAATGGAAGAAAAAAGGGGGGAAAAACATGGAAAAATATATTGCAAATACAACAGCACCAGAGCAATTGACCCAAGCGGATCAAAAGTCCTCTTGAAAAACAAAAGAAAAAAAAATGGCAGGAGAATTGCTTTGTTTCAAGTGCTGGACGAGGCTAAGTGGAGGCTGTGAGAATAAGCAAAGCACTTGATCAAGGTAAATGGTGGTGTCTCTTCTCAGTAATGCAAATCGCATTAAGGAACATTAAAACTGCCTTGCACAGGTTTAGAGTGGATCAATCCTACCACTGTGGCATAATCACTCTTCAAGCCATTCCCCAAGCATGGAAAATTCACAGCGATTGAGGTCCTGATAAATCTCAAATATTAAGGATATTGCCAAGAAGAATAGAATAGAATAGAATAGAATAGAATAGAATAGAATAGAATAGAATAGAATAGAATAGAATAGAATAGAATAGAATAGAATAGAATAGAATAGAAGCTGGAAGGGACCTTGGAGGTCTTCTAGTCCAGCCCCCTGCTCAAGCAGGAGAACCTATACCATCTCAGACAGGTGAATGTCTAGTCTCTTCTTGAAAATCTCCAGTGATGGAGCGCCCACGATTTCTAGGGGTAAGCTGTTCCACTGGTTGATTGTCCTCACTGTCAGGAAGTTTCTCCTTAAGTCCAGGTTGCTTCTCTCTTTGATCAGTTTCCAACCATTGTTTCTCGTCCTTCCATCTGATGCTTTGGTGAACAACCTGGCCCCTTCTGCCTTGTGGCAGCCCCTCGGATACTGGAACACTGCTATCATGTCTCCCCTATTTTTTCTTTTCTTAGACTAGCTAAACCAAAGTCCCGCAGCCATTCTTTGTTTGTTTTAGTCTCCAGGGCCCTGATCATCTTAGTTGTTCTTCTCTGAATTTTTTTCCAAACTCTCAACATCTTTTTTGTGATAGGGTGACCAAAATTGGCTGCACTATTCCAGAAATGTCCATTGTTCTTTATGCCTCCAAAGTCATGGGAATTATCATCTGATTTTAGCTTACGTTATGGCCATGATAGGACAAGCTTGGTCATGTCAGTTAATATTCCAATGACTGACTTGCATCTTGAACAGATACACATCACTTTTTTTTTTCTTTTGGTGGGAACGTCTGAAAGACCTCCTTCAAAATTCTTCCAAAATAATGTTTAACTTGCTGCCTCTGCAAACATTTGGGAGAGGACTTTGAAGGCTTTCTTCAGGAAGGCAAATTAAATGCTAGGGACTCCGTCCCAAGCTAGATTGGCCGATCATGGACTCTCATAATCCCTAAATGGCTGGGGATTTGGGGGATTGAAGTCCATCTATGCAGAGTGCAAAATTAGGGAAGGCTCCATTGGAGGGAATTAGGTTAGTGGACAAGAGCCACATGAAGATAACGGAGGGATCCTTAGTGCTCGCTAAGCTTGGTGGTTTTCTTGCAGATGTTTCATTTTGCAGCTGCCAAAAAGGCCAACACAGTGCTAGGCTGCATTAACAGAGGGATAGAATCAAGATCACGTGAAGTGTTAATACCACTTTACAAGGCCTTGGTAAGGCCACACTTGGAATACTGCATCCAGTTTTGGTCACCACGATGTAAAAAAGATGTTGATACTCTAGAAAGAGTACAGAGAAGAGCAACAAAGATGATTAGGGGACTGGAGGCTAAAACATATAAGGAACGGCTGCTGGAATTGGGTATGTCTAGTTTAATGAAGAGAAGGACGAGGGGGGACTTGATAGCAGTGTTCCAATATCTCAGGGGCTGCCACAAAGAAGAGGCAGTCAAGCTATTTTCCAAGGTGCCTGAAGGCAGGACAAAAAACAACGGGTGGAAACTAAACAAGGACAGAAGCAACCTAGAACTAAGGAGAAACTTCCTGACGGTTAGAACAATTAACCAGTGGAACAACCTGCCTCCAGAAGCGGTGAATGCTCCAACACTGGAGGTTTATAAGAAGAGACTGGACAGCCATTTGTCCGAAATGGTATAGGGTTTCCTGCCTGAGCAAGGGGTTGGACTAGATGACCCCCAAGATCCCTTCCAACTTTACTACTACTACTACTACTACTACTACTACTACTACTACTACTACTACTGCTATTATTATTATTATTATTATTATTATTATTATTACCCAAACTAGGTAACATCAACAGTGCTCAAGCAGTGCTTGAGTTCTGATGAAGTTACCAGCTTGAGTAATGAAATGTCTGCAAGAAAGCCTCCAAATTCAGAGAGCACTAAGGACCCCTCGTTTCAACTCTGAGCTGCAAATATTCTCCTTTATTGAAGATAACAGAGCTTTGATGATGGTTCCTTTCTAGGCATTACCACAGCAGCAGTTTGTGTCTATCCGGCTAGAGTAACTGATGCAGTTAAGGCTCTCAAATCTGCTGGCTGCCACATCCCCGTGGCTTCAGGTAAGCTCTCCGCCTGAATTTCAGAAGGGGAGATTCAGAATCGTATGCTGATTTTATTCATTTGGTTCCTTAAAGATTCTGGCTTGAGTGGCATGGTGGCCTAGAGGTGAAGATGCTCGCCTCCCACTCAGAAGGTGGAGAGTTCAATCCTAGGCAGCAACAGATGTTTCTCTATCAGAGCACAAATATCTGCTGTGAACTCCGCATAGGCGTCAGGGAGGGCATCCGGCCAGCAAATGCTCAGCTCCATTCAGTCGCTCTGATTCCACCCCAAATCAAAGGATCACAGGGTCATAAAAAGAGGGGGGGGAAATCAAAGATTCTGTCTTGTTCTCGACTGATGAACAGTCCCATATGTGCCATATGGGATGCCATATGTTACCAGAAGCTAACCTTGATGCAGTTCTGAATTAAAAAGAAAAGTTGAGCCCTAAAAACCTATGATCAAAATCAATGACATGAAATGAAATGAGATGTATTTGTGCAGTGTTGCTACTTCAGTGCTGCTTCTGTTTAGATCCAAAGGTGATTCAGAAAGTCCACCATGGGTCGCGGGAACGATTAAGTTAATAAGGAAAAGAACCCTAAAGAAAGCATGTGCAAGCATTCCTCACTTAACAGCCACAGTTAGGATGAGCAACTCAGTAGCAAAGCAACGTGGTTGTAAAATGAGACATCACATGGCTGTGACAGGCGTAAAACCTCACTTCTGCTGCAGTTGTTAAACAAATCACCTGTGTTCATTAAGCAAGACCTTACTACTTGTGATTTTACTGCTGGCTTCTCCTTTGACTTTGTTTGTTGGAAGCCAACTGTGAAACACACAAATGGTACTCAAATGATTATGGGACACTGCAGTGGTTGTAAGTTGTAAGGTTAGTGGGCAAGAGCCACATGAAGATCAATTGTAAAGTTTTGAAGCTGTCATAACTTCAAATAGTCACTAAAAAGCGCCACTGTTAAGCAAGGACTACCTGTATTTAACTTCTTTTCTTATCCCCCAATTCTCAAAGGAAAAATCACAGGGAAAGTGACTCTGTCTGTCTGTCTGTCTGTCTGTCTGTCTGTCTGTCTGTCTGTCTCTCTCTCTCTCTCTCTCTCTCTCTGTCTCTGTGTCTGTCTGACTTTATCTTTCTCTCTGTCTGTCTCTGTCTCTCTGTCTGTCTCTCTCTTTGTCTTTTTCTGTCTCTCTGTCTCTGTCTCTCTCTGTCTCTGTCTCTCTCTTTGTCTCTCTGTCTGACTTTCTCTGTCTTTCTCTCTGTCTCTCTGTCTCTCTCTCTCTCAGTCTCTCTGTCTTTCTCTGTCTCTCTCTCTGTCTCTCTCTCTCTGTGTCTCTGTGTCTCTCTCTTTGTCTCTGTCTGACTTTCTCTGTCTCTCTTTCTGTCTCTCTCTCTGTCTCTCTCTTTGTCTGTCTGTCTCTCTTCTCTCTCTCCTGTCTCTTCTATCTGTCTGTCTGTCTGTCTCTCTCTCTCTCTCTCTCATCTATCTATGGCTTGTCATTTTGCCCCCCTCTCACAAACCTCCCAGGGGTGGGGTGGGTGGGAACTCTCAGCAAGCCTACCTACACTAGCAGCTGCATGAAACAGCAGTGCTGTACATTTTTCTTTATGGACTGGAGCCAATGTTATTGGATGCTTGCTCATCAGTAATTCAGTCTCCGACAAATTTAACTTGGCCTTGGTTTGCTCCATTTGGATCCTCCCAGAGACTCCAAACACTAGTTCAAAACTTCCATACCACTTACAGTTTGGTCAAGGAGGGTTGACACCTGATTGTGACCATGACTGATGGAATCAAAAGTTGCTGAGAGGTCTAATAGAAGTCCTATATCTAGGTCCTGTTACGGTATATTGCCACACTATTTTAATATCCCTCATGTTTTTAATAGATTTTGTTTTTCTGTTCTTAGTGGCAACTGGATTCCCGGCAGGACAGACAGCTCTGAAAATTCGTTTAGCGGAGATCCAGCTAGCTGTGGAAGAAGGGGCCAAAGAGATTGATGTTGTCATTAATCGAACCTTAGTACTGACGGGCCAATGGGAAGGTGAGCATTTGCACAGTCTTAAAATCAAAGTTCTAGGGTAGATTCCCTCCACCTCCCACCCCCATGTCAGCCCTGCTGGATAAATCAGTCAGGAAATCTAGCTAGATGAGCTAAATCTACTTTACTGTAAGTCTACTTGAACAGAATCTTGCCAGACTAAAAGTATAAACTTCCCACCCTTCACTTTTAACTGCTTGCTCCATTAGGGTGGGTCCTAAGTCTCTAAGGTGAAATTTTTTTTTAAAGTTTTTAATTCTCAACTCATTTTAAACCATTTGTTCAGTTGCTGATTGCCAGACATGATCAGAAATTCCATGCAGGTAGTCCTCGGTTAACGACCATAATTAGGACTGGGAACTCCATCTCTAAATGAGACTGTCATAAAGGGGAAAACAAATCACATCACCACACAAGCTTATGATGGTCGTTCCAGTTGTGGTTATTAAGCAAATCACCCACTGTTAAGTGCAAGATCATTTGACCTCGGCTTCCGGCCAGCTATTCCATTGGCTTTGCTTGCTGGAAGCTGGCTGTGAAACTTGCAAATGGGGATTATGGAACCACAGGACCCTGAGATTGTCATAATTTTGTGCCAGTTGTCCAGTGCCTGAATCGTGATCACATGACCATGGGGATGCTTTCGATGGCCGTAAGTGTGAGGAGCAGTCAGAAGTCACTGTTCAGTGCCATTGTAATTTTGAATGGTTGTTAAGCGTGAACACCTCTACATGCCATCGCCTATAATATATGCAGAAAGATGGACTAACATAGATATTCAGCAAGTTGGTAGTGGAGATTTATTTACCTTTCATTTGCCTGCTTTGAGAATAGTCTTATTTTCTTAGCTAGTGGCTACATTTTGGGCACAAAGAGAGACTTCTGGGTTCTTAGAAGAAGAACGCAAACATTTTGCTGTAGTTATAGTTGGCCAAGAGTTTGCAACCATATTCAGCGTGTTCAAAATTTCCAAGTGATTCTTCAGAAATTTTGAACCTCTTTTTTTTTTTTGCACACTTGCAGGTGGTTGCCTTTTTAAAAAAACCTAAATGTGTTTACGGCTGCCACAAATTTTGCAAATACCTCTTGTGTGTGTGTGTGTGTGTGAGAGAGAGAAAAATAGAATCGACATTTTCTGCAAAGCTGTATTGTGAAAATTCAATCCATCCACACTTTTCTCTAAATTAAGAGCCTGTGTGTGTGTGTGTGTGTGTGTGTGTGAAAAACTAGTGGGGTGCTAGTGTTCTAATTCTTTGCAACACAATTGTTAAAAAGAATTCAAAGAGGGTTTTTTTTTTTGGTTTAGGTGGTATGTCATGTTTTAAAAAAATGTGTGCTGGATTCTTGACAACAAAATCTGTATTTTCTAATTGGTTTTCACAGAGTTTCAAGGCACATGTGTTACTGTTTAGATTGCTATGGCTAGTTGTCTCCCTAGAATGCTATTAATTAGTAGATTTTAATGCCACAGGAGATATCTTTTCTCTGTAATTGGGTTTTCCTTAATGTACCTTGAATGGTTTGCCTTTAAGTGCTGACAGAGCTCCCAACAATTGGATTCTGGGTAGAGGGGGAAAAAAAGGGATGCAATTAACATCCTTGCATTAAAACACAACTCCCCCCCCCCCCGTTGTTTTGGCTGAATGATATAGTGATGATAACCTCCACCTCTTTCATAACAGCTTTTTTATTATATTTTATTTTATTATATTTGTGGCCAAAAAGACTTTCAGAGTAGGTTGCAAATCGCAGTTCTTTCTTTCAAGGTAATATTTAGAAGAAGGCAAGCGAGGAAAGAGGGCTGAGCCAAAGTTTTTGTTGCTAAGCGAGACATTTGTTAAATGAATTTTGCCCCTTTTCTCTCGCCACAGTTGTTTTTTTTTTTTTCCGTTTTTTTTCATTTTATTAAATTTATACCCCGCCCTTCTCCCGTAGGACTCAGGGCGGCTTACAGCCAGTTTAAAACAATTTAATACAATACAATAGAAGTTTTAAAAAATCATTAAAAATAGATATATAATCGGCCGCTTCTACTAAAATTTGGCTAAAACCAATTTAAAATACCCCTAGGCCAGTCCTGCCCGCTGGAACAACTAGGTCTTAAGGGCGCGGCGGAAGGAGGGGAGATCCGGAATAACCCAGATCTCTGGGGGCAGCTCGTTCCAGAGGGTGGGTGCTCCGACAGAGAAGGCCCTTGCCCTGGGGGTCGCCAGCCGACACTGTCTGGCCGACGGCACCCTGATGAGGGCCTCTCTGTGGGAGCGTATCGGCCGGTGGGAAGCAATCTGTGGCAGAAGGCGGTCTCGGATATAACCAGGTCCAATGCCATGGCGCGNCCATCACCGCTCGTGCGGCCGCATTCTGGACTAACTGGAGCCTCCGAGTGCTCCTCAAGGGAAGCCCCATGTAGAGAGCATTACAGTAGTCCAGGCGGGAGGTGACAAGAGCGTGGGTGACTGTGCGCAAGGCATCCCGGTCCAGAAAAGGCCGCAACTGGTGCACCAGGCGCACCCGGTAAAACGCCCCCCTGGCCACTGCAGTTGTTGCAGTTGTTAAGCGAATCTGGCTTCCCCATTGGCTTTGCTTGTCAGAAGATCACAAAAGGTGATCACATGACCCTGGGACACTGCGACCATCATAAATATGAGTCAGTTTGCCAAGCGCCTGAATTTTGATCAGCTGACCATGGGGATGCTGCAATGGTCACGAGGATTGAAAACGGTCATAAATTACTTTTTTAGTGCCATTGTAACTTCAAACAGTCACTAAACGAACTTTGTAAGTTGAGGACTACCGTAGTTCAACTTGCTTGATGGAATTGCTCCAACTGAGTGTGATTTGAGAGAGGCAAAGGGCAAATGATTTCTCAGCATAACTGTTTGCTTTTTCTGGTGAATGAATTTCGTCCAAGCTGTGTTTCGGAGCCCTAAAAGAGATAACTGGATTTGCCTTCTTCTTTTCTTGATAATTTTCACTGGAAGTGGCTTGTAAATTGCTTTTTGGATATTGAGAACCTTCAGAATGAGGCGTTTTATTACCCTGGGTGACTGTCCTCCAGCTCACATTAAAATAGAATTTACGTAAGTTTAAAAGTTAAATTAAACCTTCTTTATTTGGAAATAAGCAGCAAAGGGGTGATTAGAATGGGAAACCTTTTAAAAAGACTGGACGCGACACTTTGAAAAAATAAGAATACTTTCTGTAGTTTGTTTAAAATCTTATTAAAAGTATATGAAGATTTTGAGTTTATGTGTAAGAAATCTTTCCTTGGGAAAATGTTGTGGATTAGAGAAAAACAGTGTAAGAGGAGATTTTGAAGGTTGGTTACTAGAAGCAACTGCAAAAAATCTAAAGATTATAATTAAAAGAGAATATCTGCTGATACAGAATGGAGATAAGTATTTTAACTCTGGAAAAATACAAGGATATTAGTATTCAGAAGTTTCTTTTTAAGATTGTTTCTTACTATAAAAATGGGTTCAAAAGAGGAGAGAGGAGAGGATACAAGTGAGAATCAGGCTGTTTTGAACATGGATTTAAAATTGACAGGATACAAGAATGATACTGACAAAGATGTTATACAGGATTCACAAATGAAATCAATTAAATTTTTAATAGCTAAAACAGACACACAGGTAATAAATGGGAAGAGTGACTTTGAATGTGAAGATTTCAATTCAGAAGAATGACTAGGGTAACTGTTTTATTTTGGACTTACAAAAGAAATGTTTTACATCTCTGAGGGAATTCCTGAGAAAAGATTAAAAGGGAATTTAAAAAAAATCATTTCTGGAACCTACTTAAAAGGAATAACCATCAAGATTTTTAAAAGTAAAAATAAGATCTATAAAGTTGCTTTCTTCGATCAAGGTTAAAATGTATTTGATGGGGTTTTTTTTTCTAAGGAGCTTTTAATGAGTTTTTCTTGACCAGGATTAAATGATGAGGCTTTAAAGATTTGTCTATAGATAAGATATGATAAGAGAAGATTTTTTGTTGTATTTTTAGAGAAAGTGATAAGCTGTGGTATTAAAATGGCAGGAAAGTGTTAAACTTGTGAAAAAGTTTCAAAGAGGTATGAAGAAAAGATGATAAGAAATTAATTTATGGGACATGATTTGATGGGATTAAATTTCAATATGGTGTTGTTTCTGATAGCTCTTAATAGATTTTTTTCTGATTAACCTTGAATGATGAGGCTTTAAAGATTTGTTTATCAATATGAGATAAGACATGAGAAGAAGAGATTTTTTTTGATTTTTAGAGAGAATGATAAATTAGTGTGTAAAATAAATGAAAGAAATATGGAATTGATTTACTTATTTAAGATATATTATTTCTGATAGCTCTTAATTGACTTTGGGGGATTAAAATTGAATGATGAGGATAAATTATTTGCTAATAGATAAAAATAAAATATGAAATGAAGAGATTTTAGGTTGAAATATTAGGGTGATAAGTTATTGAAATGGTTTGTATTTGTCTTAATGAAGTCATTTCTATACATTTTTTTCTTTTGTTTTATATATTTTTTCTTTCTTCCCCTATTTTTTTCTCTCTGCACTTTTTTGTATTTTTTCTTCCTTGGGTATGTGTTTGAAATGGACAGGATTCAAGAATGATATTGACAAAGATATTATAAAGCAGTGTTGGGCCCCTTAAAAACTTGTGGAGTACAATTCCCAAAATTTGCTGGCTGGGAATTCTGGGAGTTGAAGTCCACACCTCTTAAAGTGGACCAGGTTGAGAAACACTGTTATAAAGGATTTACAAATGAAATTGATGGATGTCTTAATAGCTAAAACAGACACACAAGTAATAATTTGGAAGAGTGACTTTGAATGTGTAGATTTGGATAATAACTTCTTTTATTTTGGACTTACAAAAGAGATGGGTTATACCACTGAAGAATATTTTATTGTATTTGTTTTTTATCTTTGTATTTTTAAACTTCAGTAAAACAATATATATGAAAAACCAGCATATGCGCTCCACTGCACGGT